AAAAAAAAAACAATAGGAAGAATTCAAATGAAATTCATGAACCAAGAGAAGACTAAAAAATTTTTACATACATTAACAAGATATGCAAATATCCAGCATCAACACATTGTCTAGAGCACGGGATTTTTTTACCGTTTAACCCCCCCCCCCCCCCCCCCCCCCCCCCCCCCCCCCCCCCCAAGGAAAAATAAAGATAAATAAATATTAGACATTCTGACTACCAATCGCTGTAAATACTTACACTCCCTGCAACTGTGAGCAATTGCCTAATTCTGATGGAATTGTCCCATAAAAGTTATTGTCATGAAGTGCTCTGTAAAATGAAAAATTGGTAGCGTTAGATTTATTAACAGGTCTAATAATATCCATAGCCATCAACTGCCTGATAAACAACAGAAATACATACAAAATTTTTAAGTGGTCAAGTTTTCCAAGTTCAGGGGATAAAGATCCACTAAGTTTGTGATGAGGAAGACTCCTGCAAGATAACCAAAGAAGATTCTTAAGAATAAGTAAGTAAATAAAAATCTAAAATCTATAGATGTACTTCATAAAATAGTAAAACAACCAAATGGAACATCATGCTTGGCAACTAGTGATCTGATAAGAACTTAAGATGACGTAAATGCATCTAAATGAAGTACAAAGTTATGACATTATGAGTCTACCTCCACCCTTATATAACATACACGCTAACAAAGGAAGCACTAAAGAATTTCTAGCACAATGTCGAATGCCAATATTCGAATATAGACAATAAAGCAAAAATTTGTTTGAGATTTACAGGATGATGTCAATAAGAAAAGAAAATAAATAAATTTCCATTTTGTATCGACGCTTAAGTAGAGAGATTTCTTTTTCCGTTGATTTCCTCGAATATTATGTTCGCACAGTCATAATATAGAGGATTAGTAAAATATGCTTTTGATTTGTCAGTTCGCGACTTATGCTTGGAGAAAGTTGCTTAAGGTTTTAGGTTCGCTCACAGGTGGTTCTGCTAGTATTAATTATTTTAAATGGAAATAAAGACATCAAGCTTAGAAGTTAGAAATAGGACAAGACCAATTTGAATTTGAAGTGTGCTTTCATGACTTTTATTGGGTGCAAGTGACAAGAAAGGAAGAACATTACTATTGAAGATCAGGTTAGAAAGAACTTCTGTTCAGCAAAAAGTTCATTTCTCTCATAGAAATTTGCGTCCTACCTTTTTCTAAACCCATTAACGCTTTCTAAACAAAACGATTTAGTTTCTTACCGAAAGAAAAATAAATATAAAAAATACTAATTATAAAAAAACTGGTGCATATATAGAGGTACTTATTACCAAAATGAGGAAAATATGATATTTAGTACAGTAAATTTTTAAATTTTTAAATAAAAAGGATGAGAAACCTCCCAAAATGAACTCACAGATATATCACTCTCTTAGTTTTTGGATCACACGTTACTCCTCTCCATTTACAAGGATGGGATTCTTCTGGCTTCCATTGAAGAAGAACGCCATCAGAATCAAGAATTGCTGCTCTGAAGCTCAAAAGTGCCTCACCTACAATAAACATGAGATACCAAGCACTGAGAGAAAGAATCATAATGTGCAGTTATCTTCCAAAACAAAAATGGAATGTGCACATTTCTTGCTCAATGACAACATCCCTCATAGGTGCACAAGAGCATTACATGGGTCCTATTGCAAAACATTCCCACTGATCTTAATTTTTGTCACAAGCACTAGGGGCTCCTTGTCTGCCCCAGGCGAAAATCCATACCTTACAAAATTCTAATAAACGAACATTTAACTTACAAAAGTCTAATAAACGAACATTTAACTTAACCTTCGCTCAAGAAAAGGCATCATGATGGTTAAGATTGGTCATAGGATCATAACCTATGAGTGCTTTTACTCTATATTTCACAGAGTGCAGTATTAATGTGGTAAGAAATGCAAGGTGACAGAAATCGATATGCATAACCTCTATATTTAAAAGCAAAGGAAGGTAAATCATACCATCAGAACTGGTACCACTGCTTCTGCTCATTATCATGAAAAGCGGCACAATGTGAAGAATCAGTAGCCATTGCCATTTTACCGTATAGAAGGCCATGGTGGCACCAGTCGAGCATAGTACGATTACAACAAACCATCTGAGATCTCAAAGACTGGAATGGTTTTCTTGAACATAATGTAATCTGTAACAAAGAGCTGCCGCAAGGAAGACAACACCTGGCATAGAAGAAGGTGCTTACTCTTGGCAGGAAATGCTAATCTCTTAGCAGATGACGGTACAAAAATGCAATAACTCTGTACAAAATTCTCAACGTCACAGATTTTGCTAGCAGTTTTAAATTACTCCAGTTCACACCGACCCACAAACCATGGCATACTATACTATATATCATATGACCCCAAGACCATTCAGACTAGAAAGAGTAATTGGTACATATTATTTTCCTAACACATTTGACAAAATGCTGGCCCATGATCTAATCTGACATTATGTTGCTGAGGGGTCGTAAAAATACGGCGGCATAATAAACTAAACCGATGGGATTTAGAACGATAAACCTCCAAGTTCAGCAAAAGTTTAACACACACAAATAATCCGGTGGGCCAGAAGCTTTTTCATTCTACCATTCTCTGTGGATATGCCACAAGAAGCCAGAACATAAAAGTAAAGAGATAACTATATATATTTATAAAAGAAAAGTCCATGATAAATTCAACAACCGTCACCATTAAAGCAAAAGCTATAGCATATTACTCGATTTTTCAGAGGAATGAACTTCACTCGATCAATATTCCTCAGTTCATGCAATTCATATAGTTATATTCCAAAGAGCCGAGCAGCATAAAAACAGTAGTAATATTATAATTTTCAACAGAAACTACTTGAATTTGAAGCAACAGAAGTAGCAACAATTTCAGCTCAAACTAATTTTAATTTCAAATCGAGCATTTATAGTCAAAGCAAAGTGAAATGATCTCACGAATCACACTAAAAACACATAAATTACACATTTAATAACTCGTAAAAGAAAAAAAAAGAACAAAAAACAAAAAGAACAGCCAGATAATTGAAAATCAACGAATGATTGCAGATACACAATACGAATCCAAGTAGCACAACAAATTTGAGTAAAATTAGAACTAAAAATGGCAATAAGAACAGACATTCGAACCTGCAAACCGATCCAAGATCCAGGAATCAGAAAATGTGGATGAATCGGTGGATGTGACGTTAAGAAAAACCAAAAATCGCCGTGAGCTTGTGAAATTGAAAGATTCCTGTCCGTTTCTGAGTGATGAGAGAGAGAAAGAGAGAATGAGTGAAAGAGTGAGAGTGGAATGTTGAAGAAAAATGCTTGGGATTTGAGAATGGGTCACTGTTTCAGCCAATCAGAAGGAAGTGGACTCACACGTGTGTAACTGTACTCTCACACGTGCAACCGACGCCTTTACCTGCCCCGCCCGTCGTTGAATCGGGCAGGAAAATTCCCCACCTATAAACCCGCCACATTAATTAATATCGCTTTTTTAATTAAATAAAATTCATTAATAAAGGATACAAATATTCTTAAATTATGAATTGGTTCATTATTACTCTCATATATTTTTAAAATTTTAAAATTAGATTTCACATTTCAAAGGTTAAAAATATTTTTAAATTTTATTTTAAAAATTCAAAAATAGTCCTTCAATAATTACTAATAATTAAATAAAAAATAAAATACAAATGACTAAATTGAAACTTTATAACCCAGGAAAAAAATTAGATTAAAAAACGTGCGAACCCTGAGCATGACTGACATATACTCTCGACAAAAATAAATAAATAAATAAATAAACTCTCTACTTGAAAAGGGAACCATCGAATCTATAATTGAATGATTATGTGACGAGAGTATAGCTAATTGGAGAGACATTACTTGGCTTTTGTTTGTATTAGTGGTTAGTGTGAGATCTCATATCAATCGGAGGGAGGAGTTAAACATTATTTATGAGGGTGTGGAAACTTCTTCGTACTAGACGCGTTTAAAACCGTAAGGTTAACGATTATATATAACCGACCAAAGCGAACAATATCTGCTAGCAGTGGCAATTGGCCCACAATAGAAAGCAGAGGAAGTTAATGAGTCGAATAAGAATAAGTTATTTACCCAAAGCAAACAATATCTGTGGTTTGGGTTGTAACCGTTGGCCCACCATCAAAAGCAGGGGAAGCTAACTGAGTTGACTAAGAAGAAGTCGTTTACCCAAAGCGAACAATATTGACTAGTGGTGGGCTTGAGCTATTACAGTTGGCCTACCATCAAAATCAAAGGCAGCAGTAAACTTGGATGGTTAAAGTTAGCCCACCATCAGAAACAAAGGAAGCTAACCGAGTTGACTAAGAATAAGCCGTTTACCTCGAGAACTAAACAAGATATTTGTCTAACGTCATGGACAAAAATTAACTGTGATAGTCTCCGTCCCATTTCGTTAAAAAAATCTCTCCATATTCCCTCTTCTATAACCCGTTTAAAGGAAGATTCTTGCCTCATAAATTAAATCTCTAATTTGAAACTCTTTTAACCTATGAATTATTAGTGTAAAAGCAATTTTTATAATCTAAAGGAAATGGAAAGAACGGAAGAAACTGTGGATGGAAATCCAAAATACGAGAGCCTTATCTCCTCAAGCGTTAATCGATAGGCTGGGAAAGAGCCACACACGCTCACACCCACATCTCCCTGAAGCCCACCACCAAATTTCTAGCTTCTTTGCCTTCAGAACCATATGTTTTCATAACGACCCTCATCCACTGGCGCCTCTTCAAACTCTCGATTCATTTCAAGTCGCATGCGTCAAGAGGTAAGCCATTTCCCACTGCTAATTACCCAGTTTTTGATTCTGGGTTTCCATTTTCTTCAACCAGCTCCTTCTATGTTCTTATCTACTTCGCTTTTGATTCTTGGAAATTCCATTTTCTTTGCGTTAGATTGAATTCTGGGGTTTCGAAGGGCACTGAACACAGGGCAATTTTGTTTGATGGGTTTGTTTAGAGCCATTGATTGATTAAGTAGGGCGAGATTTTCATGGTAGTTTTAGTTGTAAGTATGCAAGGAACAGGAACAATGGCGTCTGTGGCTTCCCTGTTCAACTTATCTGGTGTTGGAGTGATTGGATCATCAGAAAAGCCTCGCTCTCAGTTTCGTGGAGTGTGTTTATCGAGGAGAGGGTTTAAAGGAAGCAATAAATGGTATTATGTTCCATTTCCTCTCTGTAAATATTCAGCTACAACGACAACTGATTTCATTGCTGATCAAGGCAATGCCATCTCCGTTGATTCTAGTAGTTCTTATATTAGAAGTAAAGATAATGATGGCACAGATTTTCTTCTTAAGCCAGCCCCTAAACCAGTGTTGAAAGCTGCAGAATCTAAGCCCCCCCTTGTAGGTTTGAATAAAGTAGCTTGGGAATCTCCGAAAAGTAATGGGGATTCGAACGGTAACCGAAAATTGTTGGATAATGAAGAGGAAAGAAGTAAGGTGATTGAGTCTCTTGGGGAGGTATTGGAAAAGGCTGAAAAGTTAGAGACTCCGAAGTTGGGTGCGAACAAACCGGGAAGAGGTGTAGATAAGCCAATGACATCAGGGTCGAGCTCTAGTTCGAATTCGAAATCAAATCGTTCGAGAAGTGTTTGGCGTAAGGGGGATGCAGTTGCACCAGTGCAGAAGGTTGTAGCGGAACCGTCTAAGGCTATTGGTAAAGTTGAAGCTAAACCGGGGGGAGCTAGTACGGTAGAGCCTCAATCACAAGCTGGTTTTCGAACTGCTCAACCACTTGTGAAACCACAATCAAGGTTACAAGCAAAGCCTTTGGCAGCGCCCCAGCCTGTGTTAAAGAAACCAATTCTGAAGGATGTGGGGGCAGCAACTGTGGCAGCAAATGATGAAAGTAGTGCAGCGGCGAAGACAAAAGGGAGAAAGCCGATTCTGATTGACAAATATGCTTCGAAGAAACCTGTAGCTAAACCGTTTGACTCTGAAGCCGTCATGGCCCCGAAAAAACCTGGAAAAGCCCCCCCTCCTGGAAAGTTCAAGGACGAGTACCGTAAGAAGAATGTTGCATCGGGAGGTCCAAGAAGGAGAATGGTTGATGATGTGGAAATCCCAGACGACGTTTCCATTCCTAGTGTGACTACAGCACGAAAAGGAAGGAAATGGAGCAAGGCAAGCCGTAAGGCTGCGAGAATCCAGGCTTCTAAAGATGCAGCTCCGGTGAAAGTCGAAATTCTAGAAGTTGAAGAAAGTGGTATGTTACTTGAGGAATTGGCCTTCAACTTGGCTATCAGCGAAGGTGAAATTCTCGGGTATTTATATTCAAAGGGGATTAAGCCTGATGGTGTGCAAACTCTAGACAAAGATATCGTGAAGATGATATGCAAAGAGTACGACGTGGAGACCATAGATGTTGATCCGGTTAAAGTCGAAGAATTGGCTAAAAAGAAGGATATTTTTGATGAAGAAGATCTCGATAAACTTCAAAGCAGGCCTCCAGTCATCACCATTATGGGACATGTCGACCATGGCAAGGTAATTCGACGTCTTTCATTCTCCCTTTAGCTTTCGGGGTTTTCTTCGAGTCCTAATTTTTGTTTCAATCCATTCTAATCATTCCTGGAATTCGAGAAAGCAAGCTTTTATTTATTTTTATTTTTAAAATCTAATGAATCTTATTTTTTCTCCTCTCTTGGCAGACGACACTTTTGGACTACATCCGCAGGAGCAAGGTACTCGTGCAAGCTTAAACGTCTTTCTTGATGCTTTGCCTTTCTGGAATAGAGTTATCAGCTAACTTTGCAACAATTTAGATCTTTTGCTAATGATTCTAGCGTTTTAGTTATGTCACCTCTAAAGTTCGAGTGCTGCTCATCCATAGGTAGCTGCATCGGAAGCTGGTGGTATTACTCAAGGAATTGGTGCTTATAAGGTGTCGGTACCACTAGATGGCAAGTTGCAGCCATGTGTATTCCTTGACACTCCAGGGCATGAGGTACCTAAAACCGTGCATCGTCTTTCTAAAAATGGAGCATTTACATGATATTTTCTTATCTTTTGGCGTATTCGCTGTCATTGGATGAATTTTTGGGCAACGTTTTATCCGTTGGATTCTTTGTGGCATAATTTTCTCAGACAGGAATTGTCATTTGTATATACCATCCCTGCGTTCAGATAATGTATAGTGTCCATTCCTGTAGGCGTTTGGAGCCATGAGAGCTCGTGGTGCTCGGGTGACAGACATTGCCATCATTGTGGTGGCTGCTGACGATGGTATCCGGCCTCAGACAAACGAGGCTATAGCTCATGCCAGAGCAGCTGGAGTGCCAATAGTGATTGCGATAAATAAGGCATGTAAACAGTAAAAGACCTCGACTAACATCTCTACCGTACAATTTCGTAAAAATGTTTATAGAAAAAGATAAATGTCCTTGTATAAGCGTGTTATATATCCTAGTAAAAGCTTCGAAACTATTGATTAATTTCTCATTTCGTTTACATTTTTCCAGATCGACAAAGATGGAGCTAATGCAGACAGAGTGATGCAAGAGCTTTCCTCTATCGGTTTAATGCCAGAAGACTGGGGCGGTGACGTCCCTATGGTGCAGGTAAATATATCTCAAACGCAGAAATTGACCTTGAGTATCTCGGATTTATCTATTTTCAAACTTATGCTCGTAATATTTTCTAACAGATTAGTGCTCTTAAAGGGCAGAATGTCGATGACCTGTTGGAAACAGTAATGCTTCTTGCTGAGGTAAGTGAAACGTTGCTATTACGTCGTGTTGATTTTAGTATTTTTACATCTTGGAAATCATCCAATTATGGTGGCTCTGGCTGTTCGTCGTCGTCGTCGCTTAATGCTTAAGGTCTGAGAGAATCATAATCCTCTAAATAAAGAACAACACACCGAATATGCTAATATTTATCATGCCCAACTCGTTAGAGACGTAATCTATTCGTGCTCGAGTTAATGCCTTTGTGAAGATATCTCCTAATTGCTCTCCAGTCTTCAGATATCGTGTGGATACCAAACCTTGTTTTATTTTTCACATAAAAAATGGCACTTGTCGTCAGTGTGTTTAGTTCGCTCATAAAATACCAGATTAGATGCGATATGAAGAGATGTTTGATTATCATACCACAATTTGGTGGTGTTGTGATATCAAATCTTCGTCAACTCAGTCAAGAATCTTTTCTTTCCTCTCCCTATGGATCGAAATGTGGAGATACCTTAATTCCGGCCGGAGTCTCCCTATACCAAACCAACTCGCCTTCAACTCAATCAATGAAAAGATATCTGAGTTAGGTTTG